TTCTACATATTCTATAGATTTCCTTTTGCCTTCTTCGTTCAGCTTCCTTCTTTTATCCATAAGCTTCTTTGTTTCTGTTGATATATAGTTGTTCTTTTTTAGATCCTTCTTTGCTATTTCTTTTCCTGATGTAATCATTGTTGCTGTAAGTATGTTGTCTATTTCGTCTATATCTTTATCGTCACTGTCTAATCTTTGGGTAAGTTGTTCTTTTAATAGGTCTTTGTATATCTCTTTATATTGACCTAGTTTGTTTCTATCTACTAGATTCCAGTTTCTACTTATTTTTCTTTTCATCTCATAGTTACCGTCAATACTAATTTTTGCTCTGACCATCCTGTGATCGCTACCTGTTGTGAATCTGTTAAGAACTGTTACATCTTTAATGATATATCGTTCCGTGGACAGTATGTAGTCGATCTCATTTTTTGTGGATCCATTAGGGCTGATCCATGTCCACTTTCGTTGGGGCTTCTTTTTGTAAAAGGAGTTCATTGCGTATAGATGCTTTTCTTCTAGGTAGTTCATCAAAGTATCACCTCTATCATTTCTCTGGCCATACCCGAAATCTCCTATTTTAGTTTCTTCTTTGTTTAGTTTTTTACCCAGTTTGGCATTGAAATCTCCAATTACTAGTGTAAGATGATTTTTATGTTCTTCCATAGCCTTTGATATATCTTCATAAAATAGTTCGATATTTTCTTCATCATAAGCTGTCGTGGGGGCATATACCTGGATAATTTTAATTGATGTTCTTCTTATTTTAAGTATGACATAGGCGACACGATCTGATATACCTTTGATAATTTGGACGTGCTTACTTATAGCTTTATTTATTATAAATCCTACTCCAAATTTACTATTCATTTCATTTCCTTTATAATATAGTAGATTACCAGATTTTAGCTGTATTCGGTTTTCTTCTTTTCTTCGAGTTTCTGATAGGCCTATGATATCCCATTTTATGTTTGTTAATTCTTCTTCCAGTTCATGTACTTTTTCATCTGTGGACATTGATCTAATGTTGTATGTCCCTATTGACAGGTTGACGGGTTTTTTTGATTTATGTTGTGCTCGTCTTAGTGGGTTTTTGTTTTTATCAATCAAAAGCGAATTATTGCCTCCCCCAGATACCGTGAGGCAGACCTTTGAGGTGTGGGATTCAGAAAATTTCTTACCCACCTGGGGACCATTTCCTTTTGTTTTATTATTCGCCATGATAAAAATGGGGGGGGGGTAATGGCAGTTAAAACACCACGCTTGCCAGGCGGGTTGGTGAGTGAGTTATCAGCCGCCCATTCTGGGTCAGACGCTGTTTGTAGCCGTCCATTCTGGATCAGACGCTACATTTAATTTTATACTAACCCTAAAAATGGGGTGCCACTTCCGCCATACACACCGTACCGAAGCTGTTTTTCTCCGCCGTGGATACCGTTGTGGTCTTCATCCGTAACCCTGGACCAGGGACCCTAAGCAGGTACTTGTTTTCCGGGTCAGAAAACTCCTGGTTACCCTCACTTAGTTTAGCCTGCAGATCAATGCAGTTGCCCGGGGTGTGGCACGAGGAGCCATAAGTGAGAGTTACTACTCTCTATCTAGCCATCTACTAACGTAGATGACTTTAAAAGTATATTATCACTATTTTTGAGTTGTGGTACGACTTTATTGTAAGATAGTTCATTCGATTGCATGAAATTAACTTTAACTTATAAATATCCGTCAGAACAATCATAGCATGTGATCTGTCTTTAAAAAGATAACCACATGCAATGGTGATAGTAAAATTCTATATAGTGTTAGTGATCCCATAGTAAATCATGAGGAAAAAACCAGGAAAAAAACTCATGATGGTAAGTGGTAAGTAGTTGGTCTTATATTTATTTTACTCTACGCATCTTTTTATTTTTAAATTTTTGGAGAATTGGCGAGTCTATGGGAAAGAGATATACGTTAAAAAGTACATTTTTGGGAAAACGGGTTTTTGTTATTTATGTGTATTTTCTGTATTAACTTAATTCTGACGCAATAACACATTTTATGTCCTAAATATGGTGTAAAGTCCGTTTACCCTATGACGGCCTTTATGCAATTAAGATTACCCTATGATCAGTGGGCCTCAAACAGTGCCTCAAAAGATGCTCTAAGAGCGAAAGTACTTGTACTTTGTAAATGCCCCTGAAGATGCTCTAAGAGCGAATGTACTTGTACTTTGTAATTTTTTCTTTCAAGAACGATTTTCGAAGTGGGAGTCGTGCGTAATTAATAGACCTCCAACATGGTAACCTATCCGATTATAAATTCATGCTAGCGATAGTCTCTTTATTCTTATTCTTCTTCTTTTCATATAGACATGACTGTCTGTTTTTCAATGTGCCTCTGGCAAGTTTTCGTTCCATCGTTTTCGTGATCTTCCTACTGATCGTCTTCCTATTGGAAAATCGTCTCTTGCCGTCTTTACTACTCTAATTGTTGTCATTCGGCTTATATCATTGTTCCATTCTACTCTTCTATTTCTTACCTAGTTCTTGATGTTCTCCACCTTGCATCTGCGTCGTATATCTGTACTTCTAGCTGTGTCCCATAGTGTCTTTCTAAGTGTTTTCATCTCTGCTGTTTCTAACATCCTTTTTGTTCTCTCTGTGTCAGGTCTTGTTTCTGCCTCGTATGTCATTATTGGTCTGATGACTGTTTTTGTAAATTCTGCCTTTTGTTTCTTTCTCGATATTTTTATTTCTCCATATTGTTTCATACATGCAGCCTGCGGCTCTGTTTGCACTATTGACTTGATCTTCCACTTCTATTTCAAGCTTTTCCGCAGCTAGATAATGTGATGCTTAGATATTTAAACTTGTTCTATTATCTGACCTTCCAGCTCCAATTTACAGCTTAGTAAATTCCTGTTATATATTATTTTTTTCGCTTTCGCCTGTTTTTGTTAGTAGTTTTTATAATTTTTTTGGTGGCCGAAGCCGTTTTTTAAGTTCTTTATGATGATTTTTTTTGTAGGATATCTTAAAACATAAAATTATAATTAGTCCATATATATATATATATATATTATATATTATATATATATATATATATATGTATATATATATATACATATATATATATATATATATATATATATATAATATATATATTATATATATATATATATATATACACGTCCCGGCTATAGCTCCTCTTTTCAAAATGCGGTTATAAGTCGTCTTCCAGAAGGAGTGAATATCTTTAAAATTTTATTCGTGTATATTAAATTTTTAACCCTTCTTATAATGTATTGAAAATAAAAACATTAGAAGTTTTTATACAATTACCAAATTAATACCAAATGGTCTTCCGTCTAAAATTACTATACATACCTCCTCCAATGTATATTAAACTAACAAAATAAATCTTTCCGCTATTCAAAATATACGTCAAAAACTACATTACGGTGGTTTACTCCTCCAAATATAAATCAGAGACTAAACGACGGTGGATAAGTAAACCAAATAATATATTATAGTGTGGAAACTCTTCAGGTATGTACTTATATAATTTTTATAAACTCCATCTACAGCTTCTGATGAAATGTTAGATCCCAATTATGTTCCCTTCGATGATTCTTCAGTAAGTGCAATAACTTTTAAAAGAATAACATTCGTTGAGTACTCTGATATTGAAATGGATAACGGAAAAATATATTATTTTTTTAATTTAGTTTTTAGAAAAAATCTTCAAGTTTTCCAGAAATAAATAATTGTTCTTTCCACTCTAGTTCAATAACAAGTTAACAAAGATGATTTAAATATCGAGATAAGTTTACTTTAAATATTTTAGCAATATATTTCAAAGCACATACTTCTTAGGAACAATCTAATTCACCTTCGTCTTCTGTCAGCCTAAATATCGATCAACGTGGAAGAAACTTGAAATATAAATATGAAGTCTTTAAAAAAATCTATTTTTTGTTACTTTTGTGAATCAGTTGTATTAAATTTTCCCAGGCATATAATACGATATTATTAAAACGAATTAGAAGTTCAAATAATTTTGGTTTACCCTCCAAGAAGTAAAACGAGAATGCAATTGTTATTTGCTTTGAGCAAAAAGGAAAACTATTTATTAGGTTCAGCAAATTTAAAACCAGTTAGGAAAGGATCTGCAGATACAAACTACCTACGGTGTGACCACTGCTTCGGCATGTATTCTGCAAAAAACTTATGGCGTCACAGAAAAATATGTAATCCTGATTCAATAACCAGAAATTCCCAATCACAAGCACAAAATTTCTTATTAAGGCACCTTAAATTGGACACATAATTATTTAAAAGAAGCTGTTTTTCATCGAATGCGAACAGATAATGTATTCCTCGTGGCAAAAAAAGATCCGCTCATTTGTGCGTTTGGCTCAAGATATTTAAAGATCCATAGAGAACAATACTTTATACCAATGGCGTCAAGAAAAATAGGGAAAGTAGCTAAAATTCTTATCGAACTAAGAAAAAATAGTTTCTCAATTCAATTAAAACGCTCTTTGACTCATTGAAACCAGAATATTACGATTCTTTAGTCTTTCCTACTAAAATAGTTTCAAAACTTAAGCAAAACTTTTAAAGCTGGATCATTTGCTAAAAATATTGGCACTATATAAAAACAGTGTTGTGATAATAGCACTTATGCATAATGCGAAAAAGTCTGAGTTTACTGTTAAAAGTGTCAATGCTAAAATAAAGACCCTAAATGCAAATAATATAAGTAAATTGGAAATATGATATTTCCAGTCAAGCTGCAAATGATTTACGACATGAAAAAATTAAACAAAGTGACGTTACTACCACTAGCAAGTGACCTTATGCTATTGAAAAACTATCTCCTCTGAATCACAAATGAATGTTGTGATAAATTACAGAAAAATAATAAGAATATTAATTCTTACATGTTTCTGTTAGAAACTGTATGTATATTGCCGTCTAATCTTATTAAATAGAAGGCGCCCTGGTGAATTAGAAAGAATGACTATACAGAGTTACATTAGTGCTAAAGATAATCAATATTATGAAGAATTTTCTGAAGCAATTTCAGAAACCGAAAGAATTTTAATAAAAAGTTTTAAAAGAATAGTAATAAGAAGTAAGAGGGGACGTGGTGTAGCCGTCCTAGGAAGTAAGGATGTACAAGAACACTTAGAAATGATTACAAAATGTAAAGATTTACTTTTAAAAATACCTAGATTTTATCTTTTTGGTAATCCAAAATTTGATAAACAAATTCGATGGTATAAAGTAATGTCAAAGTTTGCTAAATTATGCGGAGCTAAAAATCCCAGTGCTCTTACATGTACAAGGTTGCGAATACATCTAGCAACGCTAACCCAGTTGTTTACAATATCGGAAAATGACATGGAGCAACTGGCTTCATTTATGGGACCCACATTAGAAGTCATCGATCCTTATATCGACTCCCCGATGACATTTATCAAACTGTAAAGATCTCTAAGTTGCTCTGTTAATGGAGAAAGGTAGAGCAGGTAAAAGGTTTAGAACAAATAGAGATAAATTTGGAAGAAGACATTATAAAAGATGATAATGGACATATTAATGAAGTATTTAAGGAACAAGAAAATGAAACCAATGATGTTATTGAATCAAAAGGTCCAGAAAGTTGTAATAATGAAAAACAGGGAATAATGGATATGAAGACAAAAAACAAAAAAGGGTTTTAGTTCCGTGAACAGAAACTTAAAAGAAACTAGCCAAAATGTATTTTAAAACCCACATTAAGCAAAAGAGACTCCCCAAAAAATCAGAATGTGACGATCTGATCTATTAAAAAATAAAAATTGGCTCAAAATAAAGGTATTCATTCAAAATGAATATAAAAAGTATTGAATGTCTTGAGTTTCCCTTAAATTTTCAGTTTTGTTTGTATTTTCATTTGTGTTTATATTTGCAGTTTTATTCATATTTTTATTATTTGTTTGTAAAACTATTAAAATTAAAGATTTATAACGAACATAGATACATGTTTTTTTTTCGTTAGCCCATGTTAGAAATTTACAAATGATTATCAATAGTATATATAGCCCTTAAATAATCAGATTCGATTACAATAAAACAAATAGAATACATTAGAATTTGTTTTTCGTTTTTACCATTAGTTTTATTGTGACCAAAAACCTCTCTACTTTGATTAAGATTTTTTGTTGAAATAGATATATACTTTAAAGTTTAAAGAAAGATTGGAAAACTATTAAGTAGTTTTCGAATCATTATTTCAGAGGAGGACTAAACCACCGTAATATAAAAATAGGAAGAACTAAGGTCGGTAAACTATAATTGGAATATACGTAACGAAATATACGCCGACACTGGCGACACAACAAGTAATGTGGCGATCATATTGAACTAAAATATTCAAACGTACAAAAACACGCAATAACTCACCCATCTGAAATTTTGCTCAATGGTTTAGAATGATGTTTCGACTTCTTTTATAATGATTGCGATAAGTCCTCCGTATACGGAGGACCCACCACATTGGAGGACCTATTCAATGTAAATTTCCTATATAAGGAGGAGCTATCCACTGGTGCGTATATATATATATATATATATATATATATATAATATATATATATATATATAAAATCAATTTACTTAGGCCTACACTGTGTTGGGCTTATCCACGATTGTTATAGAGCTACTTCTTCCTACAAGTCCTCTTATTGACGCTTTTCCTATGTTTGCTTTTTGTATTGTGGCGTCTACGTGTTTTTAAATGTTAATCCTTTATCCAAGGTGACTCCTAGATATTTTGCTTCACTTTTCTACTCGATGGGTTGTTTTGCACTGTCAGTTGTTCCTCGGGTTGTTGGTGCCTCTCTTTGAAGAGTTCTGCTTATGTTTTTTCGAAGTTTAAAGCAATTTTCTACTTTAAACTCCACTCTTCGAAAAAAAAAATACGAAAAGCTAAGATACCGAGAGAATACTATTTTTGATAATTTGCATAGTTTTGTACTCAGCTGTTCTTTGACTGGCGCATGTAAAGTAAATAAGCCTGTTCTGACTTCGAGCTGATTTCAGCTTGTTTTTCGCAATAATTCAGCCCTATTGGCTGATATCCGACCAATATACATTACATGTTTTGCCATATGCTTTACCGGTTATATTATCCCGGTGATAGTTATGTTGCCTTTGGATCCAGGCTGCTTGACTATCTGTGTACATATTGATCTGCTACAGTTCGAAAGTCCTTAAATTTAAAAATTACAAGAATTTTTTGCCTGAAATACAGAGGTATATTCTCGTAGTAGAATATTATTGTTTAAATTTCCCCCATTTCTGAATTTTCCTGCACCTAACTCATCTGCAGTTTTTAGACCCATCTGTGTTCAAACTATAACCCTAGGATCTGGTTTGATTATTTCCTCTGTCCCATTCCTCTCATGGGAAAATATCCACTTGGAAAAATAATTTAGGCTTGTATCCAGTACGTTGCTCAGGTTTTCTCGCAGTGTATAATATCTCATTCTTGCCTCTCCCATCCAGCTTTTTTAAAGGAGCATCTATTTAGGCATATCCATTGTGATTCCAAGGCAATAAAGTCTTTACATCTTGCTTAGTTTTTTGCTGCACTTTTGGCCACCATACCAGTGATGTAATTGTTGGTTCTACTATCATATTATAAATCCAATATAACAGGTCTGGTTTCAAGTCTCACATTGTTCCATGGGTGCATCTGGCTCCCATTAACGTAGTTACCACTCTCTTGGATATTATAAGTTATTTGCTGATTTCAAGTAAGCTTTAAGCAAGTTTTATCTGCAGTGAACTTTTGAAGAATGAGATATGTGCACATTATATGTTAGCTTCAAGTACAAAAAGAAGGCACTGATGATGATCTGCACTAGATCGAAAACGTCACGTTATTTACCTGTAAATTTTGGACGACACTTTTAAAAAGTTTTAAATTAAATATTTTATATTATGATATAAAGTTGAAGTGTTTTACTTCTGTATAACTTTTATATTAAAATTTAATATTAATGACAGTATGATCAATTGGATCTTCAGTATTTGCGGCTATCAATACAAAGAAACAACTTAAAGCTAGATAAATGGTTGATCCACCGATATCTCAAATTCTTCCAACCTTCAGTATTGTCAGGGCATCTTAAAATGTACTACCCAACATCAATACTTCATTGCAGATAAAACTTTTGAAGAATGATATATGTGCACATTATATGTAAATTTTGGACGACACTGTTAAAAACTTTGAATTAAATGTTATCAAGATACAGATTTGAAGTATTTTACTTCTGTATAAGTTTATTACAAAAAGAAATCATACAAGTAATAAATATATTCATTGTTATTATTACTTATACTCGTTAATCAATTTTCTAAGCTTACCTTATTACCAAGTTATTGGGTCGTACTTATTGCAGCTTTATGTAATTAAACCATATTCGTTCATTGGTTTCAGATTTTGTAAATAAAATATATATTTTACAATAGAGAATTATTCCATCAATATGTACTGTCATCTACAGGCGTCTAGTTTTTATTGCAGTAATTATATCTTCGGCTTCAGCTATTTATCCAAACTATGTTATCAATATTAAAGTTTTGTCTCATGTTGCTGGTTTTGTGGTTTTTGCCTGATATTAGTTTTGTTTTTGTTGCTCATCGAACACATATTTTGTAGTACGTTGGAAAATGCAGTGAACATCTCCTTGAATTTAAGAGTCATACTTGCAAGAGCCCTGTTCTAGTATACGTTACCAGCGCCGCGTTAGCGTCGGCCCAACCGGACACTGCCACCACCTGCCACTACCACGAAAAAAAATCTCTGAATCTTGTTGAATAAACATGGTTAAATTGAAATTTATTAAATTCATAAATTTTGCTATGCAAATACATTATACACGAAAATATATACAGACCAGGAATTGTCAGAATATTGTTTTGTCTAAAGATGCCTCTACAAGAATCTCTAAATTTCATTTTATACATTATCCTAATAGCTCTTTTCTGAAGTACAAATATCTGCTCTAATTCAGAGGTACAACCCCAGACTTCAATGCCATATTTGGCTATTGAGTAAAAATGGGCAAAGTATACTGTTTTTAATATTGATGTATGAAAGAAACGTGAAAGAATTCTTAATGCATAACATGCGCTACTTAATCTGGATTTCAAATTAGAAATGTGGTTTGGCCATTTACAATTACTGTCTAGAAGTACCCCCAGCAACTTCGTGCAGTCTGTTTTATCTATTGCTGCTTCTATAGTGGCTTGATGGTTTAATAAATTATTTGACGTGAAAATCATATACTTTGATTTCTCTTCATTCAAAACTAATTTGTTGGATAAGAAATAACTTTTGATGGTGGATAGTATCTGTGAAGTTTTATTTTGCAAATTTTGATCAGACGTTCCTGTGACTAGAATGTTGGTATCATCCGCATAACTGATAATGTTAACCCCAGTCAGTGAATTAGTTACCAAAGTTATATCATTAATAAATACTATAAAAAGTAGAGGACCCAATACACTACCCTGAGGGATACCATAATGGATATCCAATGTGTTTGATTCGTTTACAAGTCCATTAGATGTTATCTTTACTTTTTGTCTTCTATTCTCTAGGTAGGAAGTAAACCATTTTAGAACTATACCACGAATACCAATCCCCTCAAGTTTTATTAGCAACAAATTATGATCCAAAGTGTCAAAAGCCTTGGACAAATCGAGAAATAAACCACATGCCTTCTCTCGTCTGTCCAAAGCATCCAACACTAAGCTGACGAAATTTGCAAGAGCTGTAGTTGTAGACTTAGAAGATGTAAAACCATGTTGAAAATTATGCAAGACACTATGCTTTTTCAGAAATCCGTTCATTCTAGTATAAACTAGAGTTTCAATTATCTTTGAAAACACAGATAAGAGACTTATGGGACGATAGTTGTTAAGGTCATCTTTATCACCACTTTTGAATAAAGGGATTACAATAGATAGTTTAAACATACTAGGAAATATTCCTTGTTGAAAAGAGGCATTACAAATATCCGTCAGTGGATCTGCGAGAGCATGAATGCATTGTTTTAATAACTTAGGGGAAATCTGATCAAAACCACAACTGTGTTTGGATTTAAAACTTCCGACTATACTAGTTATTTCCTGTGGGTTAGTTGGATATAAAAACATAGAAGAACTATTACGGTTTTTTGATGCTGATGTAAACCCATCTATTTTAGTAGGATCCAAAGCGGCAAGTAACTTTGGAGCCATTTCAACAAAATGGTGGTTAAATTTGTCTGCTAAATTACTGTTATCATCACTAGGTACTTTTGAGTTATTTTGTTTCCCGACTGTTAAGTTTACTAAACGCCAAATACATTTAATTTTATTTGATGATTCGTTTAACTGTCTCATGAAGTGACTACTTTTAGCAGCTTTTAATTTAATTGAATATTCTGCCTTTGCCAAATGAAGGACTGGCCTAAGACTACTATTTTGCTGACAGATCGTTTCTAAAAGTTTTAGCTGATCCCTTAAATTGTACAGTTCCTGCGTAAACCAATTCGAACGTGTACTTTTTTTAGGTTTACATTTAAGTAGTGGAAAATGGGACCGAAAATAATTTTGGATAGTATTTAAAAAAGCTAATGATTTATCCTCAGCAGAAATTGTATTAAATACCTCTGACCAATTTGTTGACTCAAGGGTTTGAACAAAACGATTTATGTTCCTTTCACTATATGAACGGATGAATATATAGGCATCATTGTCTGTGTTAATGCTACATTGGAATATTTGCGCACGATGATCAGAGATAAAACCTTCCACAACCATTGTTTTTTGTGGGTGATTTATGTTTGTAGCAATATAGTCAATTTGAGTTTTACTAGTTGCAGTTACTCTTGTATAATCATTCACAGTTACAGTTAAGCCATAAGAATCTAAAACATTCACCAAGTTCTGCTTACTTAATGCATTTGATTTGAAATCTATATTAAAATCACCTGTTAATATTATAGCCTTACCTTCGGAGACTAGCACATCAAGTATTAGATCCAGTTTTGACATAAAAACATCAATAGAGCCACGTCCAGTCAGATAAATACACAACACAACACAATTAAAAAGGCAATAGTCTATTTCAACAGCACTCACTTCAAAATTATATTTCTCAGATTGAGAACATATATTAGAACGTTCCTTCCAAACCATACCGTCTTTCACATAGATTGAAGATCCTCCATGTTCCCCTTGGTCACGGCAGAAAGATAAAGCCAGAGAAAATCCATTGATATGGTGTAGTTCTAGTTGTTCTTTAGATTTCCAGTGCTCAGTTAAACAGACACATAGGTATATTATGTAGACCTTCGCATTGCAGGAAGAACTCTAGTTTTTCAATGCTTATTGATATACATTGTATATTTTGATGAAGTAAGCCAAAACTTTTTTGAACTTTGATGGTACACAAGGCAAATATCGAACACATTACTTAATTAAATCTTGCCCAAGTACTTTCGATCATGCATTGACGAAATGCCCCTGAGGATGATCTTGTGATCGAAAGTACTTGGGCAAGATTTAATTAAGTACTGTGTTCGATATTTGCCTTGTGTACCATCAAAGTTCATTTATTCGAACATTCAACCTTATATTGATTTAAAACTTTTTTGATTGAAAGTTGAAGCATTTTTACCAACTGTGTCAAAATTAGGAGAATTGAATACTTCTAACTTATCCAATTTAAAACCAGTTTTCTGACTAACACTTGGGATATTTAATAATGTAATATCTGGATCAAAAACTAAGCTTCCTCTGTCTGTTTTTTCTTGTGGTAAAAAAAACTACTTACAACAGCTCCGTGAGGCCAAACTTCGGGATTCATGGCCTTGTTGAAGTTCCCTGAACATATATTTACTTTGAACGAAGAGTAAATAGTTGGATGTTTTGATTGAATCATTTCACATGTTGCTTCAGGAAAATTCACTTTAATTAATTTTGTTAAAGAGTCAGTTGTAGTTTCTTTATTAATTCTTGTAACATGTAGAGTTGAAATTTTTGGAACACCCGTAACCTCATCGCTATCTCTATTGCTACCTACTATAATTTTTCTTCGTCCGTTAAACTGATGTCGCCTAGGCTTAATAGTTTTCCATTCTTGATCATTTTTCGTCTCATTTATATGTATTTCATCGTTAGTTGGTTTTTTCGTCCTGTACTAAATTAATGAACTGATCCATTTTTAATCTGTTTTGTTCAAAAAGCAGTTCTTTCGAAACATCTGTTTTTGTTATCGTTTGGGAATTCCCTTGTTTATTTACGTCAGACTTTTTCTGAGTAATTACCAGTTCACTTTTTGCTGCTTTGCCCATAAAGTTTTGTTTGTGTTCTTCTTTCTTTTTTTCGGCAATATTTAAATTGGTCTTATAATGTGTTTTGGAGTTCGTAATAGTATTAGTAGATGGCGTTATATGTATCTTTGGTAAATCTGAATTTTCTTTTAATCGTTTTAGGAAAAAAATTAAATCTTCTTGTTCTTGGCACCTTTTTTCTAGATGATATGTAAGTTTACTTACAGCGTCAAGTTCCTTTTTAATGGAAATGGTCCTGTCTGATAATGTGTCACAGTGAGAACAGGTTATGTTATCTGGCAAATCATAAGATTTATTTTTGCTCTTGCTGTTTACAAATTTACCAATTTTATTTATATAGGCAATCACTTGTGGATTTGCAACATTCACTGGTACTTTTAACGTCACAATTATGTCGATTAGTTCATTTTTCTTTAATTTATTTAACTCAGTCGTTAACATGGTTGTATCACACGCCGCCATCTTGACGAACACTTCAACTTATAATAGTAAAATGTAATAAGAAGATAAAAAGCGGAATGAAAATCAAATTAGATTTTTGGAACAGATGATATTGAACACAACAATTTCATAAAGTTTCCTAACCTCTGGTTACGCAAATATGATACAAGCTATTAAAGTTCACTTTGACCTAGTCTTAAAACTATTAAGTCTAGAATATTTAATTATTTACTTTGTTAAATTTATTTTAAAGTTATTAACCATCAAAATAATTTACTAATTGATTTTTTACAGGCTTTTGCAAATCCCGAAGACTCGAAACAAATGAAGATAGATCCACAAGTAAATGAAAATGTGGAGAGGGTAAGAAGGTACATATAACTTTGTTTACTGATGTTTTAATATGTTCGTTAATATTGTTCGTTAATATTATCTATCACATTGACAATAATCAAATTATTAAATCATCATCATCATCATCATCATCGTCTTGGTGCTACAGCCCTTAGAGGGCCTAGACCTTCTCAAGTTTTTTACGCCCCTTGCTTGAATTTTCCAGTTGCCGACTCCGATCTTCTCGGCATCTTGTGTTACCCCATCCATCCACCTCAGCTTTGGTCTACCCAGCTGTTAGAATTTTTTTATCATGTTCAATTCAGGGGCCCGGGCTAAATGTCCTGCTCGCTGCAGGCGGTTTCGCTTAATTATCTTCTTCTTCTTCAAGTGCCCTGTCCGTTGCGAACGTTGGCTATTAACATGGCAATTTTGATCTTGTTTGCGGCGCTTCTGAATAGTTCGACCGATGTGAGCCCGAACCACTTCCGCAGATTTTGGAGCCACGAGTGTCTTCTCCTGCCTGGCCCTCGCTTACTGTCTATTTTTCCCTGGACAATCAATTGTAGCAGACGGTACTTATCGTGTCTCAATATGTGGCCTAGATATTCAAGCTTTCTTTGTTTAATTGTATTCACGATTTCTTTCTCCTTTCCGATTCTTTGGAGTACCTCTATGTTGGTGACATGTTCGGTCCAGGATATACGAAGAATGCGTCGGTACACCCACATTTCGAATGCTTCTAGTTTTCTCGTTAGCGTCTCCGTCAGCGTCCAGGCCTCCACGCCATACAGCAAGATCGGAAAAATGTAGCATTTAACTATACGTAGTTTTAGGGGAAGAGACAAATCCTTGCTTATGAGGAGCTTTTTCATATTGCTAAATGCTGCTCTAGCTCGTTCTATTCTCGCCTTAATTTCTATGGTCTGTTCCCATTTTGCATTTACGTTGGTGCCAAGGTACACATAAGATTCTACATGGTCAATTAATATGTTACTTATCCGTAATTGTCGAGCAGGTTGTTGCTTTTTGCTTATCAGCATCCACTTTGTCTTCTTGAAGTTGAGGCTCAGGCCGTATTCCTCACTAACTGAATAAAGTCTTTCCATTACTTGTTGTAATTCGTCTATGGTACTGGCAAGGATCACCGTGTCGTCGGCGTATCTTATATTGTTCGTTAACTCGCCGTTTATTTTAATGCCCTCATTTGCATTTTCCATACATTTGTTAAATATTTCCTCGGAATACATATTGAATAGGAGTGGGGATAATATACACCCCTGACGGACACCCCTTTTGATCTGCACGCTTTCAGTGAGTTCGTTGCCAATTTTTGCTCTTGCTGTTTGACCCCAGTATAGGTTTGCCACAATTCGAATGTCCTTGTCGTCAATACCTGTCTTTCGCAGAATACCTATCAATTGTTCATGATTGACATTGTCAAATGCTTTTCTAAAATCTACAAAGCACAGATACACGTCTTTATCAACGTCTCTACACCGTTGTATAAGCACCTGGAGAGCGAAAATTGCTTCTCTAGTTCCAAGTGCTTTCCGAAAACCAAACTGCGATCTATCAATATTTGACTCACATTTATCATATATTCTTCTGTGAATGATCTTAGTGAACGCTTTAGTGACATGATTGATCAAGCTTATGAGCCGGTAGTCATCACAAATCTGGGCATTTGGTTTCTTCGGGATTGTAATAAATGTTGACTGTAGCCAGTTCTCCGGGATTTTACCGCTATTATATATGTTGTTAAAAAGTACAACTAGATTGTCAAGGAACTGTTTGTCTGATTTACATAGGATCTTTAATATTTCGCAGGGTACATTGTCCGGACCTGCTGACTTATTGTTTTTTAGTGCTGCAATGGCATCTTCTATCTCCGATTTAAGAATTGAAGGTCCTGTTTCTCCTTCTCCATATAGGTGATCATCAGTCCTGTTAGATGCAAATAATTTTTCTATGTATGATTTCCATGTTTTTAAGATCGTTGATGGCTCCGAGATAAGATTTCCATCGCTATCTTTTATGCTGTTGGGTGACTTATTGAATTTCCTCTTGTTTGTCATCGATTTTATTTTTTTGTGCATATTGTAACTGTCGTATTTTCGTTCGTATTGTTCTATTTCCCTGCATTCGTTGGAAAACCATTTTTCTTTGGCTTCTCGAATTTTCGTTCTTATGGTTTTGTGGATCTGCTGGTATTTTTCTGCATTTTTATTCTTGAATTTACGTCTTTCATCCATCATATCCATTATCTCATCAGACATCCATTCTTTCTTTTTTCGTCGGTCTCGCTTTAATAGAGTCGCGCATGTTGTTTGGATTGCTTCCCTCGATTTATCCCATCTCTCTATTATGTCCGACGTGTTCTCGTTAATGTCCTTTATTTTCTTTCTTAGTTGTTCTCGTACTTTTATTTCGGTTTCTGGGTTAGTGAGTTTTTTAATATCGATTGTGTTTAAATTAGATCTTTTCTCGAGCCGTTTTACTCTCATGACCATTCTGCATACCAACACATTGTGGTCCGTAGGAACATCGGCACCTGGGTACGTTTTTGATGATTTTATCATGTTTTTATATCTTGTTGGTACTGCTATATAATCTATCTGATTTCTAATGATGTTGTCAGGTGAGTCAGCGGGGGATTTCCATGTGTAAAGTCGACGTTTGGGGAGCTTGAAGAGTGTATTACTTAACAGCAGGTTATATTCCTGGCAGAAGCATATAAGTCTATCACCTCTATCGTTTCTCTCCCCTAGGCCGAAGTTTCTTACGATCTCATTCACCTTGCCTCTGCCAACCTTTGCATTGAAATCTCCCATCACTATTGTTACTTCATGTTTTTTTGTCATTTTCATCAGGCTTCCCAGTTGTTCGTAGAATTCTTCGCTGGTTGCCTCATCTTTATCTGCCGTTGGCGCGTATACCTGTAATATATTAATGTCCACCGGTGTTGCTCGAATTTGTAAAAGCATCATTCTATCTGAATGGGGAGTGAAAGATTTTACTGCCGAATTAATATGTGGGGCAACTACTATTGCAGTGCCGTTTCTGTGATGTTTTGTGTTGTTTCCAGCATAGTAAACTTTATATCCAAGTATATCGCATTGTCCAGAGTTTTGCCAGTGTGTTTCACTTATTCCCAATATATCAATTTTTAATCTTTTCATTTCTTTTACAATATTATGAGTTTTGCCGCTCTCGTACATACTTCGTACATTCCAAGTTCCAATCCTTAGGTGTTGAGAACTTGCTTCCTTTTTTAGGCCGTAGGGATTTCGCTGGCTGACGACCAGGGAGGCCCTACTATTTGTTTGTGTGCATCCTCCCCTGCCGGATCTTGGGATCCGATCACCATGATCATTAATGTTTTTGTTATCGTAGTGTATTGCCATGATAACTATTCTAGGAAATTCTTATGAGGTGGTTTTCCGTTGCCTTCCCCATCGCAGTACCACAACCATTCAAACTGCTCCAGTCATGCTTGTGGTAGTCCAGTTTCAAGCCGATCCAGGATCATTTCCTTTGCGCCTTGAGCTGGTACGGATGATCGCTGCTGCCCTTCATCAGGGTATCACTCGGTAATCACTCGGTGAAATTTTCGCCATATCTGGCTACTCTGGCTTAATTATAGTGGTACTATTTTTGCCACTAAACGTATGCTTGTAACCAAGATCCCCAACATCGTAATGGAGTGGGTATAATGTTAAAAAAATCTCTATCTCGTCATGTCCTGAACTTCCTACCTTTGTCCGATCGTGTTATGATGTTACAAATAAATACAAACATCACAAAAATGAATATAATACAAGTATACGCAGCAACAGCGGACAAAGAAGAACATGAAATAGAAACATTTTATGAACAAATTGACTCGGCATTGAAACTGACCAAAAAAAGGGACATCACAATAATAAAGGGAGATTTGAATGCTAAAGTGGGAAAGGAAGGAAGGATGATTTGTAGGAAATTTTGGATTAGGGAATAGGAACGAGTCTGGTGAAAGACTGGTACAATTTTGCCAGGAAAACAGAATGGTAATTACCTTTTTCGAACTACCTAACAGACGTTTATACACATGGAGATCTCCACAAGACACAGAACATCACATAGTGAGAAATCAAATAGACTATCTACTAATCAATGAAAGATACAGAAACAGCATAATGTCAATTAAGACATACCCTGGTGCAGATATATCATCTAACCATAATCCACTAGTTGCAAGAATGAAAATAAAACTAAAGAAAATTAATAGCACAACCCCCAAAAAAGCAGTTGATATCAACAAATTACGAAAACCAGAAGTAAGAGAACAGATGATACAAGAAATTGATGAAGCAGTAACAAAGATACAACCCATAAAAGACAAGACAAAAGTTAACATCAATGAGAATTGGACAGACATTAAAACAGCGTTAATGAAACCAAGCATAAGTCACCTCCATAAAAGTAAAGAATATAAAAAAAGTGGATGACAGATAAGATACTGAACTTAATGGATGAAAGAAGAAAACAGAAAAACAAAAAGAACCAGAAGTGAAATTCGTCTAAAAATACGCACAGCTAAAGAAAACTGGTACGGGGAAAAATGCGAAGAAATCGAACAACTACAAAATAAACACGACAGCTTTAATGCATATCGGAAGATCAAAGAGTTGACGAGGACACAAAGTAACAGACACAACATATTAATAGACGAGAGTGGAAACATTATTATGGATACAGAAGAAAAATTAAGAGTCTGTAAACAGTACATAGAACAAGTGTTTAAAGATCAAAGAGAAAATGTAGATAACGAATACATAAACAGTGACACAGGACCAGAAATAACAAGAGATGAAGTGGAATACACGATTAAAGAAATGAGGTCGGGGAAGGCTACAGGCCCAGATGAACTACCAATAGACATAATAAAACTCATCAAAGGCAACAACTTAATAAAGATCGTGGAACTATTTAACAGCATTTACAAATCTGGTATCATACCTAATGAATGGCTAGTAACAACAATAATAGCCATACC